AACTTCTTTATTTACAGGCTATCGCTTCAAATATATATTACCTGGGTTCAGAGAACTAATTAAAGATGCAACATTTTTCAAGAAACTGTGAAAAATAAAGAAATGTGACAATTTTTAAGAATTCATTTATTAAAATTGTTTAAACTTAACTTTCTTATGAGTATTTGTGTCACCAGACAACTACCTTTTTGGTGGTAAAAATTAATTATACCCCCACTATAGGAGCGGGGGCTATATACAATCTTGTTGTTTGTCTGTCTGTCCGTCCGTCCGAATTTTAAGAGAAAGTAGTTATTTCCATGAAAATCAGCTTTTATATTATTGTCATGTCTTTTGCATAATTTGTTTCTTTAATCTGGTCAAATATAGTTATGCAAATACATCAAACTTGGAAGCTATTAAACACAGGTTTCCAAGTGGTGAAGTTGAATCCTCCCGTCGATTTTTTTCGGACGCCATCACAACTTTTTTGGACCGTTATGGAATATCTGTTTCACAGATGACGACGGATATATTACAATTGTCGTAACCACAATCCCGATCTCTTTTCCTCGAATATGACATCATCGAAACTGTAATTTTACTTATATGAGCAACACAACGGGTGCCACATATGGAGCAGGAACTGCTTACCTTCCGGAGCACCCGAGATCCCCCAAGTTTTAAGTGGGATTCGTGTTGCTCAGTCTTTATATTTCTATGTTGTGTTTTTTAGACTGTTGTTATATAGAAAAGAAGATGTGGTATGATTGCCAATGAGACAACACTCCAAAAGAGTTGTTTGTTTTTTTTGTCGTTTTTTAACATGGCGTTGTCAGTAGATCTTCGATTATGAATTTAATTATCCCTTTGGGATCTTTCTGCCTGTCTTTTACTATGTCTCTTGAATTTATTCGTTTTTATGCCCCGTATAAGATAGTAGAGATTCACGATGTTGCCTGTCTGTCTGTCTGTCTGTCTGTCTGTCCAACTGTCTGTCTCTCCAACTGTCTGTCTGTCTGTCTGTCTGTCTAATAGTCCAACAGATAATTATCTCTCAGAACCTACAGAAAACAACGAACTCCTATGTGGATAGCAGCTCAACAGAGATGAATGCAAACGTATGATTTCTTTAAGATCTCTTGGACACGCATATTTCCGACTTGCCCTTACTTTCAATTACGAGATGGTGGTATACTTTAGCCTCAACACCATGTGTTGTTTGAATGTGCTTCTGATTTTTTTTTCACAGCTTAAGTTTTGGTTGAGATGGTGTCATGCAAGCTCCAGGCTTGGAGTACTATTATCTGGAATTTTGTGTTATTGGTAGTGAAATCTGCATTTCTTGAACAATGAAATTTGTACATGTGGATATTTGGTCAAATAAAATAATAGTTTTACTAAGTAACAGAACATATAACAGGTATTCTCTTTTCTTACATTTTGTTCTCAAATTGGATTTTTTTTCTCCCATAGGATATTTTTTTCTCCCATAGGATATTTCTTTCTCCCATAGGATATTTATTTCTCCCATAGGAGTTTTTTCTCCCGTAGGATCATTTTCTCGCATATGATTTTCTTTAATCTTCCATAGGATTTTTATTCTCCCTTAGGATTTTTATTTTATCCCTTAGGATTTATTTTTATCCCTTAGGATTTTTTTTTCCACAGGATATTTTTTCTGTAATGAAATCCTTTAGGATTTTTTATTAATCCTATCGGATATTTTTTTATCCCACAAGATTATTTTATCAGACAAATATCCTACAGGATAAAAAATATCCTGTAGGAAATGCTATTATTTCTCCTAAGGGATTTTTTTAGTCCTAAGGGAGAAAATATATCCTGTAGGATATTTTTATTCTCCTAAGGGATTATAAATCCCATTGGATTTTAATATCCTGTAGGATATTAAAAATAAAATATCCTACGGGATAATGACTTTATCCTACAGGATTTCTCATAATTTCACTTTCACTCGTTTTGCCGAACCAGGCGAGCTACATCAAAAAAAATTGTGTATTGTTTTACCTATCCCCAGAGGTACATTATTGCCAAATTTGAAGATGTTACCGTTAAAAAAAGTGTGGTTCCAATTTGCACTCATGAGAAGTGCAAATTAATCCAAGAAACTGTATACATGATAAATGATTATATGTAGATGACCTATCTTCCGGAGTACTTTTGCATAGACACACAAACTTTGCTTACAACCGGTAATTCTAAGTGCTCCAGACGGGTTGTTTGTTTATGGATGTATTTCACAATAAAGATTGACTTTGGCAAGTATCTGAATTATATTTTAGGTTCAATCTAAAAGTCATCCAAATCGCTTTATTGGCAATGTCTTTTCAATCTGGAGCCTAGGTAGTCGAGTGGTCGTATAATCGAAGTTGTTTAGGACTTAAACAAAGTTCACATCATCTATACTGATCTCTAGCCTGTCAATTCTGATGTTGTGAGTTAGCTGGACTCCGACCGATCTTAATAAATTATGATCGCCACTTTTCCTCCTATAGGTCGTTGAATAATCCGGCTCTCTCCACTGATAAAAACTGGCCGCAAAGAAATAGCCAATAATGCTGAAAATGATGTTAAAACACAAACAATAAAAATCTTTTCAAATAACTGAGCAAAGCGTGGACACATGATCTATAATTCAATCAGATTGGCATACATTAGTCCGTTGATTTTCTCGTTTGTTTCACATTATGCCAGGCCTTTAATAAATTTAATATACGGTAAAGCTCTTATTGCTTAAGGCCTAACGGTGGACTTAAGTTGTTTACATTCTTTTCATTTGGTTTTTGCTGTATAGTCTCATTGGCAATCATTAAACATAAAGTTATCATTATTTTTATAGTCATATTTGATTTATTCATTTTAAACATTACATCAATACTGTTTTGTCATTTTAATGAGCTAAATTATAAATATGAGCTATGTTAGACATTTTAAACAGCCAACACACATCAGAACTTGCTTTGATTTGAATGTTGAAAATTTTATTTTGGTTTTTGTACCTTGATGTTTAGTTTTATTCAAATTATTATAAGTTTACGCAAAAAGACAGATGCGTCGTCAATAATTTGAATAAGAGCTCAATACAATTGCATCAATTTGTATCAAATATAAAAAGAAATTATGTTACCCGTTATTTGTGTTGAATTACTAAGGATTGGTGAAATGTATGCATGATTTTTGTGGCAATTATTTTCTATTTATTTGTTAATAGTAAGTTATTAGCTATCCAATTTGTCAATGTTCTTAAGTGTTTTGTTATAAAAATATGGAGATATTATAGAAGAAGAAGAAGAAGAAGAAGAAGAAGAAGAAGAAGAAGAATTTATTATAGTGCAACCTGTAAATGTTTTAAAGTACAAAATAATCAGCCAACCAAAAAGGCTTATGATGCACTTTCTAAAAATAATAGTCTATTCTGAATCATGAAAATGATTTTTGGAATCAAAATATAAAATGAGAGAAAAATTAAACGCATTCACAAACAGATGTTATAAGATAGGTTTGGTATTTTATACACACTTTGTTGCTTGTTTTTTCAAAATTGAACAGTCAATAATAAATTTTGCCACAGTTTTACTCTTAGTACTATTAAGGAGTTCTTTTAATTTATCCATTGATGAAAGGTCAGGGAAGTCATAGTCATGTAAAGTTTGAAACTTTCGAAGGAGTTCGTTACGAATATTGTTATAAAATGTACAATTAATCCTTATGTGGAGTTCATCTTCTACTTCGCCACTGTCACACATTTTGCATAGTCTTTATTCAACGGGAATATTTCTGATACGCCCCTTTTCAAGTTCTAGATGGAACGTTCCTCCTCGCATTCTCGACAAGGCTGATCTTTGGTTTCTGGTGAGACATTTCTTTAGATATTCTTCTGTTGTGAATTGTGATTTTATGTTTGTATGTTCTGGCATATTTTGAACACTATCAATCAACGACAAATGATGACGTTCTTTTAAAGAGTTTTTCACAGTGTCGAACACATGAGGGATGATTTTAAACTAAAAGCGTTTTCGGGTGTTACAATATAATTTAGTCCACAGGATTCTATTAGTGTTTTGGCGTTGTTGAACCAGGTATTCCTGTATCGTTTAGAAATCTCTTGGTCCCATTAAAAAACTTTGTGGCACAAACGACAGTCTGGTAGTTTGATTAACCTTCATAGTAGCCGAATTACATTGCATTATGTACTAAGAAAAACCGGATACCATCCCATCTCGCCAGCTATAGACGGTACGGGAGTAACCATACCAACACCAAGAAAAGTTCGTATTGCACGATATTGAAGCATCTCTAATGAATCATACCGTTTACAGCCCCATACACCGGATGCGTATTCTATTATTGAAGAAACGGTTGAAAAAAAAACACTTTCGTATATGTTGTATAGTCCATACCGTCTATTTCATAGTATTTCGAAGTAAGTGAACCAAGTGACCTGCTCCCTGTTGATACCAGTTCATCAACTGATTCTTTGAAGTCTAGGTGCTGTGTTATAACTAAGCCGAGGTATCCTTTTTTTGGAATTATTTCAAGGGCCATTTCATCGAAGTGGAATCTAACTTCACTTTCTGCTTTCGAAGGTTTTCGCACATGCATAACTTGATTCTTATCCGTATTGACTTTTAGGTTCCATGTTCTACTCCATTCACTTGTTATATAATGATAGCCAATCAGACACCTATCCACATGATTCCAAATGACGTGGATGTGAGCAACTATAAATTATCGTATTGTCTTCAACAATAAACTAAATATAGTTAGCGATACAAGGCCTCGACATGACAACAAAAAGAAGGAACATTTAAAACGAGAAAAACCAACAACCTGATTTATGTACATGTAAAACACAACTAACGAGAAAAAGATTTGACAAGCAGCAACATTTGTATTATAGAGAAGTTTTCATTAAATATTCTTCAAAGTTTGAAATATAATGTATACATAGTTTAGTTGCACTTGTCCATAGATAAATGTCCATGTATAAAGTTTTATAGACTATGTACAAATTTAGCCAGTGGGGTTTATGATGTAAGTAAACACTCGATTCAGATTACTAAATGACCATGTTACGTAAACCCCATTACACATGTTACTTTTAAGTGTATTGGGAAGGTTAAGAGTTTAAATAAGGGTAATTCAACGGTCACTTCAAAGATGCAAAATTTTAGTACCGACGTTTATTACTTTATTTGATTAATGGGATAATTTCTCCGGGTACTATATAAACAAGTTTGTTCAGTTGGTGTACTATCTGTGTATTCCAACTGAACAGAACTTTGTGTTTTTATTTTAAAGGTAACCGGACAATTTCAGAAACCCTAGTGGTATGATAAAGTCCTAAAAAACACGAACAGCATACAAATTACTTGTCAGCCACATACACATACGAGTTTCATCCGACCTCCCTCTACACCAAGTCGAGTATAGTCTCACCCCAACTGACACCAAAACCAAGTATAAAAAGTGGTGGAGGAAAAGAAAACGATTTCCAGTGGATGAAGCTTAGAAGTGGTAGAAAAACCAGGACAACCAAACCAAGCATGAACAACCTTAAAGGATTTCACCCGTTGTCACCGGCACCGGGATCCAAAGTTGGAGAAGGAGCACTAGTGAAGGACCTGAAACAAATATCAGAAGAAGAAGCAATCGAGGAAACACACCCAGATACCAGTGACAACCTGGAACAACCAGAAAACCAGGGAGCTGCGGCGTCAGTGCCAAAGGAAAAGGAAACAACAGAAAAAGGAGCTGCAGGAGTGGACTTTGGTAGTAAGACTCAAAGTAATTATAAATTTAACTTTGTACCTAATGTTTCCAATGTACCACCAAAATTAAATTATAAGTTTCCAACTGTTACAAGTCAGCCAACAACGTCAAATGCTAATTCTTCAAATTTTCCACCATTGTTAAATTCAAATCCAATTGTTAATCATCAACCATGGTACAGGCTGCGAGAATGCCTAATGTAATTTCTTTAACTAAATTTACGGAAAAACAATCAGCCAAGCAATGGTGGACATTGTTTATGCAATGGGTTTTGTATCATTCAATGACGGAAGCAGCGACTCTCGCAGCATTTCCATTTCAGTTGGGAGAAAATGTTTTGCAATGGTATTTAAATTCAGACGACAGTGTTCGTACATCATTTAATAATTTGAAGCAAGCTTTCTTAAAAAGATTTTCTCCTGACAAAACATTGTTTGATACAAATGTTTTATGTATTAAGCAAATACCGGGTGAAAATGTGGATGACTATGTTGCAAGAGTAATCAAACAAACTGCTGAATGTGACATACCGGTAAAAATGATTGTTGGTATTGCTATTCAGGGTTTACGAGGACCTCTTGCAAAAATAGTAATGCCACAAAAACCCAAATCGATGGAAGAGTTGCGAGAAATGACTTTGTTGGCTGAAAAAAACTATTAAATGTACTGAATCACCAGATGAATCACTTACGGCAACTATTGTAGGGATGCAAGCTGAAATCGCAAATTTATCTGAAAAATTAAATGTGGCATCTTTGGCAGCCATTTCAACAATTAATAGAGGAGATTCTGGCACATTGCAAAGACAAAATAATTTTCAAAGTCAGCCAAGAAATGCCAATCCAAATTTTGTATGCTTTAGATGTAACAGACGAAATTGCGATCTCAGCAGGTGTCCGGCTAAAAATAAAATTTGTTACAATTGTAATAAGATAGGCCATTTTGATTCTGCATGTAGATTAGGGCAACGATCAAATAGAGGTCAACAAAATATGAACTCAAGAAATCAAAATAATGCATATCGAAGAAATCAGAATCATTATTCACAAGAACACCAAGCTTATCCTATTCAACAGCAATCTTACCCAGCTATTTCTTATGATCCTAATTATCAAAATCCGCATAATTCACGCTAGGGGTGCGCGCCTATCCTAGATAATAATTTTCGGGGTAGGCACAAAGGCAGAGTAGCGGATGTAAATCTAACATCATCAATTGAGGCAAAGAATAAAATTAACATTAAAATAGGCAATTCAAAAACCTCCGCTTTGATGGACACTGGGTCAGAATTAACATTAGCACATTCCGGTTTCTTTTATAAAACATTTTTTTCAGAATACAAGTTAGAAAAACCAGATTTTAATTTTATTAGAGGAGTAGGAGGTCGTCAATTAGTTTTATTGGGAAAAATAGTTCTACCAATTGCTATTGCTGATAAAAAGTTTACATTCCAGTTCACATTGTACAAGGATTGAACCATTCATTCATAATTGGAATTGATTTTATGGAAAAATATGATGTTTCATTAAATTTTTCAAAAAGAAGTTTGTATATTGCGGAAACATCTACAGTATGTACCATAAATGAAAACAAAGGTTTTGCAAGATCACAAAAGAACCTTAAGTTAAAGCCTCTATATCAAATTGATGTTCCAGTAAAAATTCCAAAAAGTGTTGAAGATCAAGTTATATTATTAGAACCAGTAAAACAATTAGAAAATGCTAATTTAATGGCTGCCAAATGTTTAGTAAAAGTTAAACAAGGAAGAGCTATGTTCAAACTTTGCAATCCTACTGAGAGTGAAATTTTTATCAAATATAATACTATTTTAGCCACCATTTCCGATATAGATATATCGTGCATAATACCATTAAGACAAAATGAAACTTCAGTAAATAATGTAAAGACAGGTCATGAAAAGGTAAACTTTGAAAAGTCTCCAATTGACTTTAACTTATCAAATTCAGAATTGAATTCAGAACAAAAGAGGCAATTACAAGAATTTCTAAAAACGCAAAGGGATGTTTTTGCTACAAATCTTAAGGAATTGGGGAAATCAGACAGATATGCTCATAAAATTGAAACTTTTGAATCTACTCCAATTAAAATGCCTTTTTATAGACAAAATCCAGTAATGCAAAAGGAAATTGACAGACAAGTTAATGAATTAATAGAAGCAGGAATAGTAGTTGAGTCTAACAGTGAATATCATTCGCCTGTAGTTTTAGTAAAAAAAAGCAGACGGAACGTTTCGTTTTTGTTGTGATTATAGAAAAATTAATCTTCAGACACGCCCTCTTTTTCATCCTTTACCACGGCTAGAATCGGTATTTGACTGTCTAGCAGAATCAGAAGCTCACATATTCAGTTCATTTGATTTACATTCTGGATATTTTCAAATTCAAATTGACCCAGAAACAAGACACAAAACAGCTTTCATTACTAGAAATAGAATCTATGAATGGACGCGAATGCCAATGGGTCTGAAAAACAGTTGTGTGTCTTTTCAAATGATAATGACTCAAATCTTAAGGGGGTTAAATTGGAAAAAATGTACTAGTATACGTAGATGACATTCTTGTGTTCAGCAAAAATTTTGATGAACATCTACAACATCTTCGTCTTTTGTTTGATAGGTTAAGGGACGCAAACTTAACACTAAAGCCTTCAAAATGTAGCTTTGCCGTTAAACAAGTTAAATTCTTAGGACATATAGTTTCGAAAGAAGGTATTCAAGTCAATCCAGCAAAAACTAAAGCTATAAGTACATATCCGGTACCTTAAACGCAAACTCAACTACGATCTTTTCTTGGGGCAGCAAATTATTATCGCAGATTTATAAACAAATTTTCTTCAATTACAAATCCACTCAATCAATTGTTAAGAAAGAATATCCCATTTGAATGGACTTCAGAAACACAGATAGCATTTGAAAAATTGAAACAAGCATTAGTAACAGCACCAATATTAGTTCATGCAAAAAAATGAACAAGCCTTTTCATGTGACTGCTGATGCATCAAAAAGTGCAATAGGGTATTATTTGTCACGGTTAGCGAGATGGGCTTTAGAACTCCAAGAGTTAAATTTTAAAATTGTGCACAAACCGGGTAGGCAAAATGTAGTAGCAGATGCTCTAAGCCGTAGGAACTATGACAATGCAGAAGTAAATGCATGTGTAATAGAAAATGAACGTGTAGAAGTGCAGTTCATTTATGATAACACTCCAGTCATTTCCTTCATCGAAACAAATCAGGTAGATGAAACTTTAAACGATTTGCCAGCCATCGGTAAATTACAAAAAGAATGCCCAGATATAAGAGATATATATTTATATAAAGAACAAAATCAGTTACCCGAAGATGACAAAAGAAAAAGAAAAGTAATAGGTACATCTGAATATTAAGATTTATGTAATGGGGTATTGTACCATTGGTTTCAGAAAAGATTAAGAAAACTAACAAAAGAAGAACGCTTGATACGACAAATCGTGTTGCCTAAAGTTCTTTGAAAAGATGCATTAAGAGCATTTCATGATAATGAGGTAGGGGGTGCCCATTTAGGTATTGAATAAGGAATGGCGGCAATGAAAGAACGATATCATTGGGAACATATGCCCCAGGATGTATATGATTTTATACATTCTTGTGACAGATGTCAAAGAATAAAGAAAGATCAGCACATTCGACCACCTCCTTTAACATCAATGCCAATCGATGGTCCTTTTGAAAGATGGCATATAGATTTTCTTAAACTTTCAAAAACCAAACAAGGTTATCAGTACGTTTTATTAGTGGTAGATTCTTTTACAAGGTGGATAGAGGGGTTCCCAATGAAAAATCAAGAAGCAACAGAAGTTGCTAAGGTATTATTTGCACAAATATTTTCAAGATTTGGAGCACCATCTAAAATTGTAAGTGATTTAGGTAAACAATTCACATCAAATCTTATTCATGCTCTTTCTGAAAATTTTGATATCAAACAACATTTCACATCAGCTTATCATCCACAAACTAATAGTTTTTGCGAAAGAAACAATCGAACGTTAATTCAATCTTTAAGGGCATATTGTGATAAAGATCAAGAAAACTGGCCTGCAAAATTGCCAGGTATTTTAATGGCATTTAGGAATTCACCATGTACTCAGTCAACTGAACATTCACCTTATTTTTTGGTTTTTGGAAAAGAAATGCGATTACCGTTTGATGTCGCAATAGAACCTAAAAATAATTTGCAAAAGAATGCTCAAGAATACATAAATGAAGTAATTGAGAATTTAAGAATTACAAGAGAAATTGCAAAAGAAAATGTAAAACTAAGACAAGAGAAAAGTAAAGAATACTATGATAGAAAAACGGCAGAACCTGAATTTAGGCTTCATGATAAAGTGTTGTTGCGTCTGCATCGAACTCCAGTTGGGAAATCTCCAAAATTAATAGACAAATATGAAGGCCCATTCTATATTACAAAGATTGGACCAAAATATACATTTAGATTACGTAAATGTAGTGATCATAAAGAATTAAAGTCCGTAGTAAATGCAAGCAGACTTAAACATTATTCAAATCCGAGAAATCATAGAGCAGAAAGACCTGGTGAAGGTTTAGAAAAATTAAATGCTTCTGATAGAAAAACAGAAAATAATGCAAAAAGTAATGATTCTCATACTGCTGAAGAGCAGGATTTACCTTCAAAGGAGGTTCACCAGGTAAACGATACACAAAATAAAAATCGAGACCAAAATATAAAGGATAGTGGAAATGACGAATTAATAGATACTATAGACGAAAATGAAATATATTTTCCAGTAGATAAATTACTAAAGATAAATAAACATAATGGTATACGTCATTTCTATGTTAAATGGTTGGATGGTTCCAAAACTTGGGAACCAGAACAGAATTTACCTGAAACAGTAATTGAAGATTATTTTGTAACGCATACTCAGCAAGGAAAAGTAAGAAAACGTAAAAAGCCATCATTTATCAGAAAAGTTGAAAATAAACCTGAACATCAATAGTTACATAATAAGAGCATTTTCAAAATTGTAATTCTACTAGTGTACAGTATGCTGTCCAACTTCATAGCTATATTTGGTTTTTTTTTGGTTTTTTTTTTCCTAGTCGAAACCTGCACAAAATTTCGTGGATTGGTCTACTTTCTTTAACAGATTAGTCTGTTGTTTGATTGTGCTAGAGTTTTGTGCCTGATCAACACATTACTCAAAAATGACTAAATCCACCCATTTTTTTTCATTTTAGGACAACCATGGACAGCTACACTATACTGGTTGTTGATTTTGATAATGTCTCTTTTAACAATGTGTTCATCAATTAACACAGATTCGGGTTCAACTTTGAAAGTGGATGGTACGTTGCAGCGTATTAATTATGGCACGGTTTTTAAAGATAATGGACATATTATTATAAGTAATGAATATTGGCGACATACTTTTGAAGTTCCACTACCAACATTGCATTCTATACAACCTTTTATAAATTTTTGTGGAAAAATTCCTGGAAATGCATGTAATAGTGTTAAAAGCATCATAACTAACATTAATATTATTCAACAAGAAACGAGGGCTAAAATTGCCCATCTTTTTGCTTTCATACAATTGCATATTCCAATTATTAATATTAAAAAGAAATCAAAACGCGCATTGCTACCCTTCATTGGTAGTCTTTCAAAGTCATTCTTTGGGACAGCTACAATGGATGATGTAAATTTACTAGCATCACATTTAAATGCATTGCAAAAACAAAGTATAAAAATGGCAAATGCGTTAAGTCAACATGGATCTCATCTTTCATCTTACATGACAACATCAAACAGACGCATGGACAATATTCAATTCGAAGTAATGAAAAATTATTATGCAATTGGTAATATTACTAAACATTTTCAGTCTACTATTACAAATATTGAAACTCATATTTTAGATTTGACAAATTTACTAAATATGCAAAGTTATAAAGCTTCTTCCATATCAAGTGAAGTAAATACAGTTATATCATCTTTGCAGAGTTTGATTGAAGGAAAATTAACACCTGTTTTAATCCCCATGTATTCTTTGCACAAAGCTATACAGGACATCGACAATATATTATCAACAAATTACTCAAGATTTGCTTTAGTAAATAAAGAACCTCAATGGTACTATCAGCATGCCACATTTCATTTTGGAACAAATATCGATAGAAATAGTGTTTATATAACAATTAAATTTCCAATTTCCCCTGAAAAGGAACCTCTCAAGCTGTATGAAATAATTTCTTTGCCAGTTCCAATAAATGCTACTTCATCTCATGCAACAATGTTGTTAAATTTACCACAATATTTAGCTATTACTTCACACCAACAATACTATGTCACAATGGAAAAGGCAAATTTGGCAACTTGTAAAAAACATGGCACTTATTTATGCAGTTTCAACAAATCTCTTACGCCAGTAACACAAATGTCTTGTGTCATGGGCTTATTTGCGAATGATAAGTCAGTAGTAAACAAATTTTGTGATTTTCGTTTCTTGGAAAATCACTTGTCACCCACTGCTATTGAATTATCAGCAACATCTGTTTTAATTTATAACAGTTTTAATCTAGTAATTGATTGTCCAAGATATCAGGATATTAAACATGGATGTTCCATGTGTGTCATAACTTTATCTTGTCAATGTTCAATAACAACTAAACACTGGTATTTTCCTCCAAGATTTGTTAAATGTCATAAACAATTAAATAAAACTGAAGTTTTTCATCCAATTAATTTAGCTTTACTACAACAATTTTTTAATGAGTCTAAATTAATTTCTCTGGCAGCAGATTCTGTGTTTTCTAAACAAGTAAATGTTTTATTACCAATGTTTAATATGTATAATCATTCTTTTCAAGAAAGAGTTGTAGCTGACCAAAAATTACATTTAAACATGAAAAAAATGGTTCAAGCTGCTAAAAATGATGAACAAATCTTCCAATCTTTAACTGAACCTTTATTAGAAGGAGAAATAAATGTCAAATCTGTTTGGCCCGATACAAATGGAATTTTAATATTATGTACATTGGGTCTTACAATTTTAACCACAATAGCATGTATTTTTTCTATGATGAAGATACGGAAATTATCTACAACTTTATTAATTTTACAGCAAACATCACATGTTCGTTCGGAAGAATTACCTTCATTTGTATTTTCAAAACCATCAAATAAAATTCAAAAATCAACAATTCCATCTATTAGTTCAATTTTAGAATGGGATCATTTAATTCTTGCGTTGCTTATATGTACAATTATAATACTTATCTTTATTCTGTTCATCATAGTAAGACGACGAAATAAAGGAACTACAGTTTTATTAGAATTAACGTCGGGTAAACATTGTGTTATTATTCCACTAATTTACCTGCCTTTGTGCCCATCATTCTTAAAAATTGAACCCCCTTTTCATATTTCTAATATTTCATTATCAAATTTTTCATCTTGTAATTTAAAGACAGACTGGACGGGATTTAAAATTAAAAATGTTCTAAACGAGCAATCCTTGGAAATACAAAATGTTGTTAATCTATCATGGATTAACTGGTATATAACATCAAAGGTACTAAAGCATCCTTATATGGCATACATTTTATTGCAACATGATGGGTTGCTGACACCATTACCAGATATTAAGGTTCAGGACAACATACGGTATTTTAAAAATGATAACTGATTATATTAAATTTCTTTTTGACTTATTTCATATCTATTTTTAATATTTTCAGGATTATTTAAGTTGAAGATGGGCACCATTATTTGTTCATCAATCCCAAAATATGTTAAAGATATTAATGGGTGCACAACACAGGCATTTCCTGGTGCCACAATTGCAAGGTTGAGTGATTATGTATCGTCCAATAGAATAAATCTCAAAAATAAAGATTTTGTCATTGTTCATGTAGGGTCTAATAATATTGCACAAAACCATTCAGTTGACATGATAATTTCCTATTATAGTGATTTGATACATAATATTCAAATTAAAAGCAAAGCGAAAATTATAATTACTTCCATCTTACCACGGTTAATAGATCACAATAGTACGACAGAAAATGTAAGAATAGTAAATTCACAGTTAAAAAAGTTATGTGTCAAACGAAATATTCAATTTTCAAATATTTATAGATCCTTTTTATGTAACAATTTACCAGATGCTTCTTTGTATGCCCCAAGAGATGGATTACATTTGAATTTAACTTGAACTTCACTTTTACGCAAGAAGTTCATTAATATAATTCGCCATTTGAGTTTAGAATGTTAATATTCATATGCATATATATATATATATATATATATATATCTATACAAATTTTTAGTGTGTTGAAATATTTGTAGTTGCCCTAATTGTCTGTTTTTCTTCTTTAGGGAAATCTCATCCAGAACACGATGTTATTTTCCAATGTTACTGTTCCAGATCTGCATACATTTGGAACGGATATCAGCCCTATTCCTAACAACCCACATATGTTGTTTGGAAACGCAATTTTTTTTTTTTTTTAAGAATAAAAACAGATATTTTTTTTTTTATATGCTTCAATTTGTTTGTACATATTCATTTCAATTATTTGTGTTGTTGATTTGTCTTTTTCCCCAAAATTTTGGAGCTCCAACATTAAATGGAGTGGGGGAGTATTATTATAGAGAAGTTTTCATTAAATATTCTTCAAAGTTTGAAATATAATGTATACATAGTTTAGTTGCACTTGTCCATAGATAAATGTCCATGTATAAAGTTTTATAGACCATGTACAAATTTAGCCAGTGGGGTTTATGATGTAAGTAAACACTCGATTCAGATTACTAAATGACCATGTTACGTAAACCCCATTACACATGTTACTTTTAAGTGTATTGGGAAGGTTAAGAGTTTAAATAAGGGTAATTCAACGGTCACTTCAAAGATGCAAAATTTTAGTACCGACGTTTATTACTTTATTTGATTAATGGGATAATTTCTCCGGGTACTATATAAACAAGTTTGTTCAGTTGGTGTACTATCTGTGTATTCCAACTGAACAGAACTTTGTGTTTTTATTTTAAAGGTAACCGGACAATTTCAGAAACCCTAGTGGTATGATAAAGTCCTAAAAAACACGAACAGCATACAAATTACTTGTCAGCCACATACACATACGAGTTTCATCCGACCTCCCTCTACACCAAGTCGAGTATAGTCTCACCCCAACTGACACCAAAACCAAGTATAAAATTTGTAATAATTTCCCTGACACTTAGGAATTTTTATCTAAAAACTGATCGGGCAATTCTGTTCTCTTGTGCATAACATGATTGGGCAATGTTTCTATAATTTTGATATTTCTTGGATGTCCAGACAATGTAAACCGTAGAAACCGTTCTTTTTTCACTATAAACAGTAAATATGAAAGTTGATTTGCTGTGGACAACACCTAGAAACTAAATTAGTCATGTTTGCTGACCACAAAATACTCCTTATTTGAGAAGTTGGTATAAATTACAGAGCAGAGACTGTATTTTGAGATTACTATTGATAGAACAAAGCTTTTTATCATGTATATGTACCATAAAAAATGGCGAATAATATATTTATGACCCGATAAAGACCTTTTTACATAAAGATTTGAATTTAAAGGAAAATAAATATGGTTAACTTTTTTTTGGTCTTTACTGTAGTGATATGATTTAAAACAAATCACAAATATTGTGGGATAAAAGGGATATTTGTTATCTGTCTTAAATGGAAGAAAAAACCTTCATGTTATATAATAAAGGGTATGAACCGTCACTTGTAGGGGTTATTCTGACAAATAGAACAATACTTCGGTTCAAAACTCTGTTGTATAACTTTTAGGTGCTGATATCGATAATCAAATTTGGAGTTTGGTATTTTGTTTATACCTTTTTATCAACTTGATTTAAATCACCACATTAAAAATTTATTTTTTTATTGTAAAGCCTAACAACAACTGAACGTTGTAAAGCGTATTGGTTGCCATCTTACAATATTAAAAAAAAAATGACTATTTTTCATACATTTATTTTATCTAGTTTTTTTAATTTTTTTTTTTTTTCGTTTGGCATGGGATTTTTGCAACAAAAATAAATATATACGAAGACTATGTTCATACGTATGATGAACTTTTTGCACGAAGGTAGGTTCATTCCCAGATGATTTATATTTTAGTTTTTCATATCTTGGTGAAACAATAGTCTTTTGTTGTTATATTCTTAAAACCCTGAAACACCTTAGTCAGGTGGTGCTGAAAGGGTGATGTAAAATCCTGACTATTGAAAAAAGGAATAAAAAATAAAAAAAGGATTATTCCCTGATAAGAGGTTTCCTACGGAAGCCGGTTAGTGTCAGGGTGGTGTTTTATTTTTAAGTCGTTATAACGACTTAGCTAACTGGTTAAAACGACTTACCTTATCTAATTCGTTATAAAAACTTAGCTAACTTGTATAAACAACTTAGCTAACTCGTTTAAGCAACTAAGCTAACTCGTTTAAACGAATTAGCTAATAAACAGCTTCCATTTGCATTTGATTATTTCCAAATGATCAAATTCTGGATCTGGCAAGTTAAGAGAGAGACAATTTCTAACTATCAACTAAAAGAACGTTGATTTTCTGCCACATGATAGTTATCATTCTGTGTACTATACTCCTTAGATCTATTTCACTACTAGCATATCTGTTTTACATATTTTAACACTTCTTATAAGCTGTAAACTGTGTCCAAATTTTGCTAAGATCCATTCATTTCTTACCCAAATTAAACTATAGACACTTTAACAGAATTCTGATAAAGTCAAACTATGTATTTAAGAAACAATCATCTTATCAGAATTATGTTTAGAACAATATCCCCACAGAGACCAGCTTAGATGCTACAGACATTAGTATTAGATGCTGCTAACTTATCAGAATTCTGATAAGAAGGCCATTGATACTAGGTGCTACTAGCTTTTCAGAATTTTGTTAAGAAGGTCATTGGTATTAGACGCTAAAGACTTATCAGAATTCTGTTAAGAAGGCCATTGGTTTTTGATGATACTAACTTATCAGAATTCTGTTAAGAAGGCCATAGGTATTAGACGCTAAAGACTTATCAGAATTCTGTTAAGAAGGCCATTGATACTAGGTGCTACTAGGTGCTACTAGGTGCTACTAACTTATCAGAATTCTGTTAAGAAGGCCATTGGTATTAGACGCTAAAGACTTATCAGAATTCTGTTAAGAAGCTCATTGGTATTAGATGCTACTAACTTATCAGAATTCTGTAAAGAAGGCCATTGGTTTTTGATGATACTAACTTATCAGAATTCTGTTAAGAAGGCCATTGATACTAGATGCTGCACAACTGTTACAGTCTTATTCGAATTCTATTAAGAGCTACATTGGTATAAGATGAAAAAGACTTATCAGAATTCTGTTAAGAAGCCAATTGGTATAAGTTGTGACAATCTCATTAGAATTCTATTAAGAATACCGTTTTTATAAGATGCGACAGTCTTATCAGAATTCTGTTAAGAAGGCTGTTGTTATTAGATGCGACAGTCTTATCAGAATTCTGTTAAGAAGACTATTGTTATGAGATGCGAGTCTTATCAGAATTCCGTTAAGGGTTTCATTGGTACTAGATTCGAGTCTTATCAGAATTCTGTTAAGAATTATATTGGTATCAGATGCGACAGTCTTATCAGAATTCTGTTAAGGACAAAATGCATATTGAAATGTTGGCATAATATTATTCTACAAAAACACAATGCAGTGTTTTAAGAATTATGTAAAGAACATGAAGAATATTGACATGTACGTCTATCAGAGTTCTGACCAAAAACACAATATAGTGTTAACAGAATTATGTTAAGGACATTATTGTTAATAAGGTAAACAAATCATAGACATATATATATCGTATGAAATGAATACCGCAATTAATTTTAAAGTAGTATTATAATAATAAATGAACTAAATTAATCGTACTTGGTGGCGTGAAGTGAGGTGAAAGTTGTTGCTTTATGATAAAGTCTTCGTAGAATAACAAATTGACAAATGATTGGTAAACATTTTCCTGTCCTTTTCATAACAATAACAACAAATTTTGATAAAATATTAATAAACTCTCTTAAGCACATCAAATAAATTTTAAATTGTAGCTACTGTCAGCTTAAAATACACACATACAACAGCAATACTTTTTTTCATATGTGTCCAATTAAAATTAGGAATGCTTACTGAAAGATGCAAACGTAATTGAATTTGACTTAATGCGTCTGGAAAAATCATCATAAGTGGAAATTTTGTTACGCTTCTTAAAATATTATAGTAATAAAGATATTCTGAATATTGTAATTGACAATTTTGTACAACATTTACACTTTTAGGATTTGTTAATATTATCCTCAAATATATATATATTGTTGATCATATCCTAATACATGTAATAGCTGATACTCATTGGAGTTATTTAGAGTCCCACACATACTTGTAGAAGCACTATAATACTAGTATATAACAGTTTTTTAAATGTTGAAGAGCATTTAGTTTCCTTTCCAACGTCAACTTTTATTTCTCCACCAACAGGAGAACAAATGAGTGGTGTTGTCATAATTGTATATCACAACATGTACAAACAATACTGGTGTTTAAGTTTTTCTCTGAACCAGGAAATGTTGCCTGAAAAAGAAAGAAAATGAAACTTCAAAACCCTGTTTTAGAGTTTCTTTGATACATTAAGTATGATTAAAAGGAGGAGTGAGGTACATGTAAATGAACCAGCAACCTAACCACATCTTAAATGTGAAAATACCTGTTCAACAAAAGAATGTATAGTTAATATCGTCCGAATTCTAAGCAAATGAGTATAAATTATGCAAACTTCCATACATTTGCGCTTAACACCAAAATTTCCAAACAATAAAAATCAATAAGAAATTACAAGACACAATGACGAGGTTACTGGTTTGAAGCTGGAATATAAACTTGGGTCGGTAATCAACAAAATTACACGTCACCAAGCTTTTATATCAAAATCAAAGACTCTTTAGTTCATAACAAGAAACACAAGCGATCTTAAAGTCAACCGTCTTGAGATTATGTAATGCATCACATACACCGATAATTTGACAGTCATTGGTTTGAAGATACATTAGTACACCATAAACACCGAAATTAAAGACTTGTCAGTCAATCATATTTAGATACATAAAGGCAACACAAGTATCGAGATCTTGACAGAAACTCATCTTGATGTATATTGATACACCACAAGCAACAAAATCCCGATAGACACTGATACAGAAATGCACCACAAGCACCGAGAGATCTTGACGACAGTCACTCGTCTTGTGATACAATAATGAATCACAAGCATCGAGATATTGACAGTCACTCATCTTGAGATACAATAATGCCCCACAAGCACCAAGATCTTGACAGTCACTCATCTTGAGATACAGTATAGCATCACAAGCCCCGAGATCTTGACAGTCACTCATCTTGAGAAACAATAAAGCATCACAAGCACCGAGATCATGACAGTCACTCATCTTCAGAAACAATAAAGCATCACAAGCACCGAGATCTTGACAGTCACTCATCTTGAGATACAGTATAGCAACACAAGCACCGAGATCTGGTTAGTCACTCATCTTGAGATAAAATTATGAATCACAAGCACCGAGATCTTACAGACAATCATCATGAAAACACTAAAGCAACACAAGCTCTGAGATCTTGACAGTCACTCATCATGAGATACAATAAAGCAACACAAGCATCGAGATCTCACAGTCACTCATCTTGAGATACAGTAATGCACCACAAGCAACGACAGATCTTGACAGTCACTTATCTTGAGATACAATAATGAATCACAAGCACCGAGATTTTAGTCAATGATCATGAAAAACAATAAAGCAACACAAGCACTGAGATCTTGACAGTCACTCATCTTAAGATACAATAATGAATCAAAAGCACCGAGATCTCAAAGTCACTCATCTTGAGATACAGTATATCATCACAAGCCCCAAGGTCCCGAGAGTCACTCATCTTGAGATACAGTAAATTAAAACAACACCCAGATCTTGACAGTCACTCATCTTCAGATACAGTAATGAATCACAAGCACCGAGATCTCACAGTCACTCATCTTGAGATACAGTAAATTAAAACAACACCGAGATCTTGACAGTCACTCATCTTCAGATACAGTAATGAATCACAAGCACCGAGATTTTAGTCAATGATCATGAAAAACAATAAAGCAACACAAGCACTGAGATCTTGACAGTCACTCATCTTAAGATACAATAATGAATCAAAAGCACCGAGATCTCAAAGTCACTCATCTTGAGATACAGTATATCATCACAAGCCCCAAGGTCCCGAGAGTCACTCATCTTGAGATACAGTAAATTAAAACAACACCCAGATCTTGACAGTCACTCATCTTCAGATACAGTAATGAATCACAAGCACCGAGATCTCACAGTCACTCATCTTGAGATACAGTAAATTAAAACAACACCCAGATCTTGACAGTCACTCATCTTCAGATACAGTAATGAATCACAAGCACCGAGATCTCACAGTCACTCATCTTGAGATACAGTAAATTAAAACAACACCCAGATCTTGACAGTCACTCATCTTGAGATACAGTAAATTAAAACAACACCCAGATCTTGACAGTCACTCATCTTCAGATACAGTAATGAATCACAAGCACCGAGATCTTGCAGTGACTGATCTTGAGAAACAGTAAAGCAACACAAGCACCGAGATCTTTTGATAGTCACTCATCTTGAGATGCAGTAAAGCAGCACAAACACTGCGATCTTTACAGCCACTCATCTTGAGAAACAGTAAAACAACACATGCACCAAGATCTTGACAGTCTCTCGTCTGGAGAAACAGTAAAACAACACAAGCACCGAGAACTTAACAGTCACTTATCTTGAGACGTGTTCGTACAAGCACCGATATCTTGACAGTCACTCAACATAAAGATGTTCATACACCACAAGCATCGGGAACTTGACAGTAACTCACTTGAGATATATTCATACACCACAAGCATCGCGATTTTGACAGACACACATCCTGAGATATTTGCATACATCCTCCACAAGCACCAATATCTTGACAGTCACATATCCTGAAATATTAGCATAAACCCTCTACAAGCAACGAGACCATGACGGTCACTCATTTTAAGATACAGTAATAAACCACAAGCACCTTTGCCTGTATGAAAATAGAACCTTTGATTAAAACACATTACTAGATACTAATCAAGTTATTTCAAAGTTAGTATTGATGGGTAAAGCAGAAGTTTGTGCGCACGCAACACTAGTTTACAAAATGTCCTGTCGGTATCAAATTCGTCTAACTAGATTGTTTTCTGCTGTTTGTCCATGTACATGTATTTTCTCGGCGGGATCGGGTCTTCGTTGTTGTGGTCTGATGTACGAAGGAAAGCGATATTCAGGTAGCACAATACGATTAATCAACATTTCTTTTCCAGTTGCTTTTGTTACCTAGTAATATTTTCAACCACAGACGACAAATATGCTTCCATAAATTGCCCTGTTAATGAATGTGATGATGATCAGTTTCGTAAACACATTTAGTATCTTACTGTTATTTTTTTTTTAGAAAACAGACAATAAGAATAAAAGAGTTACTATTTAAAGAAATTTATAGTTACCATGGTTAAAAGCTTCCAGGAAAAAAACAAACAAGAAATTTGGAGCTTTAAAGGAATCAAAATATAAATCTACAAATATTCAACAAATCTAGTTGTACAATTATAGTTACTCTTGTTATAATGTTTTCTGTTTGTTTTCCCTTTTGAAAGTAATTCAATAAGGATTACCTATCTTCTGAGTTCGTTTAGATTGTTCACCTGGTCAGTCTTCTCATCGAAATCATCTTGGTAACCTGAAATATTATATACAATAACGAAATTAATTTAAAACAAGAATGTGTCCAAAGTACACGGATGCCCCAATCGCACTATCATTTTCTATGTGCAGTGGACCTTGAAATTGGGGTCAAAACTCTAATTTGGCATTAAAATTAGAAAGATCATATCATCGGGAACATGTGCACTAAGTTTCAAGTTGATTGGACTTCAACTTCATCATAAACTACCTTGACCAAAAACTTAAACCTGAAGCGGGCCAAACGGACGAACGAACGAACGAACGGACGCACAAACCGAAAAACATAATGCCCATAAACGGGGCATAAAAAGTACATGTGATGTATGGAACATATACACATTTTTATACGAGTCACAAAGACAAATAACTAATATTGATTCAAACAGTTTACAATGCACATCTCCTTATTTTCATATTAATTCATGTTTCAGGATACATGAAGGACACATTTTGCGTAAAATACATAAAAATGCAAGAGCCATGTATTCTTTGTGCATTTTTATGAGCCATATAAAAAATGTAATTTTTCAACAAAAGCAAGCTCTAGTTGCTAATTTGACACCGTGAATCAATTTTTGGTAGCATACTTTACTGTCAAACCATAGACAGCATATAGAGCGGACACGATCTTTACCATAGGATATGGGGTTGTCATCTAAAACCAAAGTTTTTAACCTTGACCTTTGACCTAGGAAGTTGTACATACATTATGACACACCCTCTGGTGTTGGTTTATATACATGTCAAGTATAAACTTTGAAATCATAACGGTTCTCAAGATATAGAGCGGACACGATCTGTACCATAGGACATTGGTTTGTCAACTAAAACCAAAGTTTTTGACCTAGGAAGTTGTACATACATTATGACACACCCTCTGGTGTTGGTAAATATACATGTCAAGTATAAAATTTGAAATCATAACGGTTGTCAAGATAAAGAGCGGACACGATCTTTACCATAGGACATGGGGTTATCAACTAAAACCAAAGTTTTTGACCTTGACCTTTGACCTAGGAAGTTGTACATACATTATGACACACCCTCTGGTGTTGGTTTATATACATGTCAAGTATAAACTTTGAAACCATAACGGTTCTTAAGATATAGAGCGGACACGATCTTTACCATAGGACATGGGGTTGTCAACTAAAACCAAAGTTTTTGACCTTGACCTTTGACCTAGAAAGTTGTACATACATTATGACACACCCTCTGGTGTTGGTTAATATACATGCCAAGTATAAACTTTGAAATCCTAACTGTTCTGTAGATATAGAGCGGACACAATTTTTTAAGGACGGACGGACGGACGGACGAACAGACGGACAGACTGATCACTATAGGGCGTCCGCCATTCGGCGGGGCCCTAATAATAAATTATGTAAATAAAAACACATGGTAAATACTATATATATATATATATATATATATATATATATATACAAGCATATGGGAGAAGCTTATCCTTCAATCACCTGTTGATACCAATTGCCCAGCTGTTAATCTCTGACCACTTGGTCGTATCTTATTAAGTCGCAATCAAAATAAATTTATACAACTATGCAGGTAATGTGGATTTGGGGGGGGGGGGGGGGGGGGAGCGACCCTGCCCTCCCCCCCCCCCCCCTTTGTGGGAAAAATTTAGTTGATAAAGGGAATCACTAAGGCATGACTGGAGCGGTCCTCCTCTGTGGTAGTCAGTGCCCCACCTCCCCTCCCTTTATGAACATTTCTGGCGGATCCACTGCAGGTAATCAAAGAAAATATAAGAGAACAAAACTGTAGAGGAAAAAATCTAAAGTGAAGACATATATTTATAGATAAATATTAAGTGTAAGAATAGCTTTAAAAGTCTCTGACACATGTTCTTTCTAAGGCAAGAAGAATTTGCATCTGAATCTGACAGCGACATTCACAACACTAATTTTTCTAGAACAAATAACCTTGATTATAGTGATTTTTTTTTAACTTGTTCAATACGGAATTTCCGTTTTATTTTTGGAGAGGACAGTAGGTAGTATGAAAATATCTCTTTCCTTATACATGTACATTTTTCGAGACATTTTGAAGTTTCTGTGTTATTGTTTATTTCACAGTACCATTATGTTTCTTTTTAAATATGAATGATAATTATTATTTCATAGTGAGAATGATGTTAAATATTAATTACATGCAGCTGGTCACTTAAACTGGGCCCCTGTTGTGTTCACGTATTGTGTGGTTCTATTGATAAGATAAAGGTGTAATGTTCTCAGAGGAATGTTTATAAATAGATTTTGCATTTATATTCAGTTTTTCAGTGAGTTAACAATACAAACATGGGAATTGTGATAAAAAAAATGAAAATAAAAACTTTATGGGTACCCCCTATGGTTTGACTTTGATGTATGTTGTAAAAGTGAGTATTTTCTACAGTTTTTGGATAATGTGTTTATAAATGAATTTATTGGTCTCGAAAAAGATGAAAGGTGAACATTATGAGGTTTGGCACCCAGCAGTTAAATCAATATTTCAAAAATCTGAGACATGGTTTTATTGTTTTTTTGGTCACTATTAAAGAGATGAAAACAAATGTGTCTTTCCATTTGCCGCTTTTTTCATCCAAGTTTGGGAGCAAGTTTTTGGCAGATATATATAATGAGCTGTATATTTTTTAATTGATCATACCAAATAAATAGATTTTTTGTAGATTAAGAAAACGAGCAACATTTCAGCTTGTAAAAACAGTGAATAACAGGTAAATGAAAAACAAGATATTTTCAAATTTGCTTCAGATTTTGACTCTTGATTATACAACAGCTTCTGTCCAAGCTTTATAACATTCTAAGAAGGTTTGACAAAGTTATTGATGTGAAAAAATAAACTTAAACCAAAATGTTTATATAAATGTTAACTGCCAATTATTTAGTCCATTTATCATTCAAATAAAAGGGGAAAATGTCTCTAAATTTTGCTCTGGATACTGTCTTTTGAATATAAGCAAACTTCTGTCAAAGTTCTGTCATAAATTTTCATGAAAGTTTGACAAAGTTATATATGTGCAAAAACCTTTTAACCCTTAAATAGATCTTTTCAATTTAAAAAAAACTAAGAAACAAATAAAACCAAAATGAAGAATACAATTTTCTGACTGAAACCCTGTTGTGAATATCGAAGTCTTCCATCAAAAACTTGGTCAAAGAAAACCTTCGAAAAAGAAAACTTTGAACAAGAAAACTTGGTCAAAGTCATCTGTTGTCACTATCAAAGTTTTTCATAAAAAAAGATTTAAAAAGGCGGGATTTCGATGTTTACTTAAAGAAATATGGCTCTAATAAACTTTTCACTGTGTATTATCATTTTGAGAAGGTGAATTATTAATCGTAGAATAGTAACGAAAACGGGAAGAAGAAACTGGCTTCTAAGAAGAAGGCAGAGTAGTACCTAACAGTATCCTTCAAGAACTTCACAGTGAAGATATCCGAGGTCGAATTAAGGACCAATTTTGAAATTGACGAAGCGACATTCAATCTGCTTCTTGGAAAGAACACTATGAATGTATGATGAACTAATTCCCGTCAAAATACAACAAAGTTTCAAGAAAATTCGAATGAGATTCTATTCCATTGAAGTTCGTGAAAGTTTTTGTCCAAATAAAATTGAGAATGGAAATGGGGTATGTCAAAGAGACAACAACCCGACCAAAGAGCAGACAACAGCCGAAGGCCACCAATGGGTCTTCGTATTTTTTAAAGTTGTCACTAGAACAAATCTTTCAAAAACTTGGCCCAAGTATTCTTGGACAAAGAAAATTTTGATAATGACAACGGGTCTTTAGTAATGATTATTGGATGGATGTATTTAAACATATTTCGTTTCAACATCCACTAATCAAACTTTGAAAAATAACAATTCCAGTAAGTTAAAATAATACTTCCATGGTTACATACTCATCGTACCAAAAATATTTCAGTAAAATAGGTAAAAATGAAAACATGTCAAGGTAAAAATGTAAGAATTTGCTCTGTCTTTTTATCATTAACAAACATTAGTGCAATGTCGAAAAATTTCATGTCGGTTCGAAAAACGCCTTTTTTAAAACGATAGACTGAATCTATGTTTACGGCACCGAAGATATCGAGGACGAGAACGTCCCACAACTGATGGATCGTAGTGTCTCGCTTCTGCGACACTTGTTGCCGTCTCGACCGCAAATTCGTCATCGCGAAACAGTTTATACAAACGCTCTATAAAAACATTATATACAGTTTATGCAGTATGACCCAATTCTCGTACTGGACATGATGAAATATTTGTCACTAGACGTTGAGCAACCAACAATCAATAAATCACTAATGGTGAACTCATTCATAAAATATTTTGACATACATTTCCTGCACCAAATTAAACCTAACAGTATTTGAAACGATTAGAGATGCATAAAATAATAACGTTGAAAAAAGATGAAATTAATATGCCTATCTTCTAGTTCAATAATGATAATAATGTGCAATAAAACGTTCAAGTAACTAATCCGTAGAGAAATTGATTAAGACGTTTTAAGTCAGGAACCTGTTGTTAAGTGGTTGTCGTTTGTTGATAAGTGTTTCTTGTTTCTCGATTTTTATAAAGACAGGACCGTTAGTTTTCCTGTTTCATTTTTTTTTTTGGGGGGGGGGGGGGGGATGGGTCCTTTATAGCTTGCTGTTCGGTGTGAGCCAAGGCTCCGTGTTGAGGGCCGTACTTTGACCTCCAATTGTTTACTTTTTACAAATTGTGAGTTGGATGGAGAGCTGTCTCACTGGCACTCATACCTCATCTTCTTATATCTATATAAGTTCCTCACACATGGCTATGCCGGGTTTATGAATTTATTGAAATTGGTTATATGATTTGAATTTATATTCAATTGAAGATTTCTTGCTGTTGCGCAGACTATATACAAAGAATTAGCAAAATAAGTTGTGACTTGATAATTTCTTAAATCTTGAGGGAAAAAAATGCCCCCCCCCCCAAAAAAAAAAAAAAAATTGTTGTTACCCTCCCCCTCAAAAAAAATAATATTTGAAGAAATTTTCTTTTTGTAAAATGTGGTACAATTTAAGAGACATCCATACACTTAGACACAAATTATTGTTTGAAAACTAGAAAACTGGCCCCTAATCCCTGAATTGTTTGGGCAATTACCCCCAAATTGAATCCCAACTTTCTACTTGTGGTATTGAACCTTTTAGTACAATTTCAAAGCAATCAAAATACTTAAACACAAGTTATTGTCCCGAAACTAGAAAAAATGCTTGTTTTTTGCCCCTTTTTGTCCCCTTTTTCCTAAACAGATGTGACCATCAACCCCATAAACAATCCCAACCTTTCTTCTGTGGTATTGAACCATTTAGTAAAATTTCATAGAGATCCGTACACTTTTAAAGTTATTGTCCGGTTACCAAATGTCTTCGGACGACGTGATAGCGATATACGAACGCAATTTTTTTGCGGTTGTATAATAACGATAGAAATTGAGTGTAAAACAGCAATCCATTTTGAGACCTCAAGTTCATATCATTTTTTTCCAGTATGCCGGAGGATTTCTTGGCTAATTGTTATAATTTGAATGCAAACAAAATGATAAGGATTGGCAAATCAGACAAGTGAAAATTCTCAAGAGATTTTATTTTCCTTATCAATAATCAAATAGTGTATATGTCAAGTATTTGCTTTAATACTATAAAAAATTATTATAACAACTTAATGCTATCATATTTTATAATTAATTAATGTTATGTAATGTGATATACATATATTCAATACATAATTCTTGAGCCCTCATATTCTAGATAACATGTTAATACTAGTTTTTAGATTTCAAATTAATATAAAAATTGAGAAACCACAACCGGTGCGGTAAATACTGTCCATCGATCCATGGAAGTATTATATTGATACTTCCATGATCGATCTAAACAATGATAAACCATAATACTTTTATTTAACCAGTTGGCACTCATAAACCAAAGAATGACTATAATTAATTCATCCCTTGGTATCTCCAGCCTCCTTTTTATCAACACACTTATTCATTTTAGAAATGATATAATGTTTGAATCTTTTGTCAGATCAATATATAAATACGTTCTTGTTCTTTTTTTTTCTCACTTTTTTAAATCTAAATAAATCTAACATGGAAATAAAATAGAAAAATAAATATATTCAATGCGGTGACCCTGTATTTAGGTGGAAATCTCATAGAAGAGAACATTTGCTATTTCATGAAACAATAAGAAATTTCTAAACAACAGTTGTACTGTTCAATTTCCTCAAAATAATCTTTTGTTATACCAAGTTGATTTTTCATAATATATATAAGTTTTGACGCTAGTATTATGTAAATTATAAATACGACATTCATTTTATTTTCATAACGAAAAAAAAAGATGCATATTATAATTTTAAGAAAAATATTAAACTTGATATATTCACAAGTGCCTTAATTTGTCACACATAGTAATTTATTCAATATATTGCCATTCCATTTGCAGACACAATACGTTTTGGGGGTTGTCTTCTAGGCTTTGTTCGCTGTCTTTTTGTCATACACCAGACAAGTTTTGTATTTATGATTTCAAAAAAAGCTAGGGGCATATGAATTATGTAGAGATAAATGACACTTCTTATAAACAAAAACTTGTCGATAAAATTTCGGACTTGTACATGAATACATTGATCCCAGGTGAGAAGACCACATATGCGATGTTTTTCAGAAAATATAAAGGATGCACACGCATGATCACTAGTAGAAAAACAGAACTTTAAACTGAAACCATCTTTCGAAATGTGCCAGTGAAAGTTCCTTCCGCTACAACATGACACCATCTCTGGGAAGGCTGGAAACGACCACTCTCGATTAAACAACATAGATACGTGTAACAAAGTTACGTGTAACAAAGTTACATCTATATTAACCTTTTCTTACTTTACAAGTAAATATATGTATACAATATTTGTACTCACCTATATCGGATTTCTTTGAAACGTCCTCTTCGTAATATACATACTCAATATTGCCTTCCATGACCTGGAATCGAATTTGAATTTTGAACCAATGAAAAAATAGAGATGTAACGGCTCTTATTTTCAAAATTTTCAAACTATACTCTACTTCCGTTCCACTTTAAATGTTTGGATACGTATGGAAATAAAGTAACAGAATATAAAAAATGTTAGCATGCCATATAATCTTACAACATATATATACTTACTGAATATTTGTTTCGGATCAACAAATTACAAATTGAAAATTATTGAAACTTGTGAAATCGTGTAAGTTTCTGAGTCAGTCATACACAAATTTTTGGAATATACTGTGTTCTGGAATTTAAAAAAAAAAGCCAACAACAACGCAAATATCTATCAACCAGTGTTAATGTAGTGACATCTTTACAAGCAAGTCTTACATCTTTTTGTGATACATTGGGAAGACTTTACATAATGATGATAGAAGTTCAATTATGGAGACGGGACTAGTCAAAACGGTGAGTGTTTCTTTTATTTCTTTTATGTTTAATTCTCAAAATATCTAAACTTATACAATACTTAAACCTAGGGTTCTTGCAGTAAATCATCATTTCGCCCTTTCTAAAGTATGTGTACAGGGGTGGATTTTTAAAAGGGGGTTCCAACCAAGGAGAAAGGGGGAAGGGTTCCAAATAAATGTTCCCATTCAAATGCATTGATCGTCCAAAAACAGGGGCGTCCCTCCTCCCCCTGGATCCGCAAATGGTGTAACAAATCCAATATAAATCACACATCTTTTGACTGATAAATTTCGGTTCATATTTCATTTTGAATATCCTTAATTTTTTACTAATATCATAGTTTTCTTTGTCATAATACGAAATAGTTAATTATCTCATTTTTAGTCCAAAAAGACGTTTAAAGAGAGGCGAAAGATACCAAAGGGACATTCAAACTCGTAGGTCGAAAAATAAACTGACAACGACATGGCTATAAAGAAAAACCTACAAACAACAGAACACAACCCTGAAGACTGAGCAACACGAACCCCACTACGAGTTAGTTATCAGGATTATATAACTTATATATTTTAATATCCTTTATTTATATAAATGAAATTGTAGATCCAAAAATTATTTAATAATTTAAAAAAAAGGAAGACAATTAAAAAAACGTCTGCTCTAAGACAGAAACGGAAGAACCAAAATAATCAGTTGATATAAGTATGAAGTCCTGCACTACATGTATGCTATAAAACTAAAATACTTTCAGCATGTTTTTGTTTACACCATAATCATCATCGTCTATTTTTTGTTATTATCAGAAATAGTATTATTATTATACATTTATATTAGTATTGTTGTTGTTCTATACCAGACACACTGATGTAAATATATAATTATTTTTACTTATTCATTTATTCAATTAATACTTATTTAAACTTTAAAACATCTATGAAAATATTATATCCCTAATAGTTAATAAAAAACTATTAAAATACTATATTCATGAATTTGAATTTGAATGCTAAAAATAGTATATTTTTATGTACGTACCTCCATTAAGAATTCCAAGAGTATAATAGCTGTGTAAATGTTTCACAAACAAACCGTGTGCTGTATTTGGCGGGAGACACACACTATAAATTACAATCACCGTTTAGACAGCTCACTGGCTAGTAAAACCATATGGTTCATACACATGGATTAAGAGATATAATGTTCTACGAGATATGAGGCATCCAACTGTGAAGTGTTACAACGACATTTCCTATCGGATGAAATACTTGTCAAGAAAGATGTTATATTAACTGCAATTATGGATCTCAAAATTAGGGAAGTCGGGAAAAACTGTGTTTTACACCCCCCCCCCCCCCCCCCCCCCCCCCTCCCCCCCTTTTTTTGCCAAACATCTTTTTTTTTAGGGGAGGGGGGTTGGAAACAAATGAAAAATGACACTGACTTATTTAGAGTATAGAAACTGATTTTTTTTTCTTTTCGCTTGTCGCCTTCAGAAGTTTATTGGGTAATTACGTTCATACCGGTAGAGGACATTTTAGCGCTTTAACGAAACAAATCAATCATATGTTGAAAAACCTCGCCCGTAATTATAAATTATGTAATTCATTGACCGCTCCCGACATGTGTAACTTCAAGGCATATTTTAGTGGCGATCGATGTCTTTCAAAATGACTGCACTTTTCTTGTATCCCTGGTGCTTTCGACTGGACAACCGTCGTACACAAGCATCGCACAAGTTGGCACCCCGAGGCGGGTGGGGAGCAAGAAGGTGACCTGTGGTTTATTTTTATCAATAGTACCGCTTAAGTCGACGCTAGGGGCCGTCTTGACCTTGTTGTAGGGTATGAATGATTCGTTCTTTGTTGAAGACCCTACATCAACTGTCAAGATGAAGAACAGGAACAAAAGCACTTTTCATTGATAATTTTCTATGTTTTCTTTGTATTGTGTGCGATTTTGTCCCATGTACACTTACTCCATATCCTTTCATTTTCTATGGATGACGTTCAAGTGCCATTTAAAACAACCACAATGGCACAATACTTTAAACATTATTTTATCTACACGAAATGAAAGAAGTACGGCGTTATTAATACAAATGCATGAAAAATAACGTCAAATTAACGTTACCAAAATTAACACCAACACCGTACGCAACGTAAAAGTATAACCCAATTTAGCGCATGATGTTTTATCCATTTTAGCGAAAAGTCAAAGTATCAATATAAAAAAGAAGATGTGGTATGATTGCCAATGAGACAATTCTCCATTAGAGACCAAATGACACAGAAAAATAATCATGATAATGGAATATGTAGACAGCTCTCTCACAAGCAAAAAACCCCTAACTGTAAAAATATAAGGGCATACACTACAGGCACGGGGACACATTCTACTGCATTCACACAGCACGAGTAACAAACCCTGCAGTGAATATAAAAAAGAAGATAATGCCCATTTTAGCGCAAGATTTTTAACCCAAGTTAACGAAAATTTTAATTGTCAAAGATTATTTCAGCGACATAAATTAATTTATAATATAATAATAAATTTTAATATAATCAAGACAGCACAATATAAAAAATATCATGTCCATTAAAAAGTCTAAAAGTTTAACTCAAATATAACAAGTCCGTTTTAGCCTGGAATCTATATCCTAATCATTTGCTAACGGACGTACGTAATCATGGTATTGGCCTCTTGATATACCTTGTACACTTACCTCATTAAATATACATATTTTTAATCCTGTTAAATAAAATAGTTCTTGAAAGATTATTACTATCGCAATAAACATTATAAATAAAAAAAAAATATATTTGTAGGACTCTAAAGTGCGATGGGGACGCTAAAACGCGATGGTCACGCTATAGTGCGATGGTCTACGCTAAAGTGCGATGGTTTGATACGCTAAAGTGCGATGGTCTGTGCTATTTAATGGAACACGCTAAAGTCCGATGCCTCAATACGCTAAAGTCCGATGCCTCAATACGCTAAAGTGCGTTTTTCTGCGAAAGTGTGTTTGTTCGCAAAAGTATGGACGTGTGCAACGTAAATAGCATTATGACGTTACAAGCTGTTTGTACAAACAAAAATGGACATGCCGGTAATCAAGAGTGTGTGTCCAGATGAAGGGTTTTTACTAGAAAAGAAAAAAGAGAGAAACAAATAATTCCAATCCAGAACATTTTTGGTCGGTGCTGGAAAAGGTTTACTTGATTTGTAAAAAGAAATTTGAACAAAACACCTGGGTGCCGAAAAAATAAAGGAGGAACTAAATTTACAAATGGGAGAAACAAGTATTTGAAAGTATTTAGCCAACTTCATGTATGATGACGATATTTGTTCATTGTACCACAGAAGGGGAAGGTGTATACCGTAAAAGAGATTGAAAACGGCAAGATACACCAAGTGTCAAAGTATTTGATTCGTCCAAATTTAATTTAGAAACTCCTTCTATGTTTGTAATGCCATGTCAAATACTTGCATGAAATAAAGTCTACTTTTTTACTTTCTAAGTGAATTATTCTATAAAACAATTGTTCAAATTTGATATACTTCTACTAGACAGTAACCTAACGACCAGATGTGTAATATCATAATATGATTGCCAATGAGACAACTCTCCATCCAAGACCAAATATAATTAATGTATGCAACTATAGGTTACATCCTTTAGCGTGGAGCCTTGGCTCACTGCTCATAGCAAGCTATATCAGTCGGAAAGCTGACCCCGATTTGACCCCATTTCTTAAAGCAACAATGGAAGTCATGTGATTACCATATATGGGCATTTTTTTACCAAAAAAAGTGAAGCCCGTTTTTTGGAATTTGTAGTATTTTGCATGAATTAAAACTAATTTGCTTTTAAGTGAACATTCTTGAATATATAAGAAATATATTGATCCACTCAATTATGTATTAAACTAATTTTTTCTCTCAAAATGTGTCTTCAAAGTCTAGGAGTTGACCAAAAAAATCGGTCACTGGAAATTAAAATCGTAATTTTCTTTCTTAACTTCTCGGGAAGCTATGCTGAATTTAAATTATGTTATGTAACATAACTTTGACTATGATATGTCAAATTTGTGCCACTTAATACGCTGTAATACGCAAATGTGCCACTTCGATGTGTCGATATTTCTGACGAAGCGGGGCCGATAGTAATTTACGAGTTACGTCCCTTTGATTGACACTCTCATGATCAAACTATTATTATATTAAGCACCATATGCTGTTATTTACATGAGGATATTATTAAAATAATTTTATTGAATATATTTTGATACTAAAGACATGTGCAAAAAAATTAGCGAAACACATTTTATCACTTTTCAGAACTCAGTCTCACTGAAATACTCAAATACTGAAATAGGCCCTATGTCAGTATGTGCCATAATATTATTATTCCAAGAGTTAATTTAATATTTATATTTTGGTTATAAGTATTTATACTGCTGTAACCAAATTATTTCAACACAGAAATAAATTTCTACTTTAATTATACAAGGGGTAGCCAAAATATTCATGAATAATGGATCAAGACAGGATTAAAATTATCAAATACAGGAACTCCTTTTCATTACTGATACCTACCTTTTTCATTTAAACTTAAACGAGACCATAATGAAAGTATTCTGAATGTAAATTCTTCATTATTTGAAATAAAAGGAAATTAGTTTGCAATTCTTGTATGAACAAACTAAATATAACAATAAATTTTGTCTCACTGATTCCATGCAGATTCTAATGAATGGACTCAAATTATAAAAAAAAAAAAACACTAAACCAATAAATAAATGGTTCTAATCATGATTATGAACTTGAAAATAGATAAGAACAAAAAAGACTGGGTCTAATATTTTTCTTCTTCTATTTAATTTTTTTTAACAATTATGCATTTTTATATTTATATAAAAGTATTTGAGAGCAGATTCTGAGTGCTGGTCAACAATATTATGTTTTAGATCACAAGTCATAAGTAAGTCACACTTCATGTCAGTATGAACATGCTTTGAATAAGAGTGATTAAAATGCTAGTCTGAAAGAGATTGTTTTAAGTTCATATTTAGGACAAGACTTTTTCATTCACCTTTGGCAGTTCTGCAGGATTACTTCATCACAAATTTTTTTTTAATATTATAAACGATGAATGAGTTTTGGTTAAGGTTGTGTAAAGACAGTATACGATTTCCTTACCTTGTTTTAGTTAAGTCAAACAATTCACTGACTTAAAGAGAATAATTAATCCAGTCAAATATTCACAGCTGAACTCGCCATTGCTTTTTAAAACAAACACACTAAATGTGTGTACATTGTGTAAAGATGCAAGTTGACATCGATGTGTAAGATAAAAAAACTACAATGTCAAAAAATGTCTTTCGTTTGGAATTTAGTTCGAACGGGGTTTCCTAAGGGGTGATAGAACGTTAGACTTGTTTTTTGTTTTAACTTTGAGATACTTATTAATATTTTTTATATAGTTTGTATATTCTTTGTTTATCTGGAAAAAAAGAAGAAAAAAATAACAGACAATTTCGCATAATTCTTAAACGACGATCAAAGGCATTACGTTATTTTTAAAAGACGGACAATTTATAACATGTTTAAGTATTATTTTCTTTGATAATAAGAACCATGCTTGAAAAATCGAAAGAAATCTATTTCTGACCCTAATGGCAAGTAAGAAACAGAAAAAAGAAAAAATTCCAAATTGGCGCCAAATTATTTTTTCCGCGAAATTAACGCAATTTCAGAATGGCGGGTTTTAATATCAGTCCCATTGTTGTCTTAAGAAAGTAGCAACAACGGTCGTTTCTAAGGGCTTGCTTTCCGACTGTATAGGGCCACACAATGGTCAGTGTAAAACAATTAAAAAGAGAAAGACAACGGCCTGAGTTATAAATCAAAAAATAATCGAATAACTAATAGGAACACGGCAACAAACGAAAACCATTGCCAGAACCACATTCCGGCTACACCATCGCACTTTAGCGTGTTAAACTAACACACTTTAGCGTGTTATATACCATCGCACTTTAGCGTGTCATACCATCGCACTTTAGCGTGTCATCTCATCGCACTTAAAGAAAACAAACAACCATCGCACTTTAGCGTCTGACACCATCGCACTTTAGCGTAGACCATCGCACTTTAGCGTGGCCATCGCACTTTAGAGTACCATCGCACTTTAGAGTCCTACATATTTACCATCAATTTGTTTACAGTTATTATATAGTCTTTTTTGCCTTGGAATATTCCTGAAACGTTTGTTATAAGTTGTCTACTTTTAATTTAACTTGCTTCATTGAATA